TTGAGCCACAGTGCCACTTCCAGCTTTTTTCTTTTTTCTTATATGATGCTGAGGAATCAAACCCAGGGCCTCATGCATGCAAGGCAAGTGCTCTACCACTGAGCCACCTTCCCAGTCCCTCAGCAAATCTTTTAAAATCATCTTTTAAGTGAGGCGTGGGTCGGTGGAAGAGCACCTGCTCAGCAAGTGAGAAGCACTGAGTTGGAATCCTAGTACTAACAAAACAAAACATAACTTTTAGAATTTTATCAAGATGAGGATGGGAAAGCTAGGAATAAGGGTTTGAAATATAGGATACTATGAAAGCTAATTTTATAGCCACAGACAATTTGTAATTACATACTTGATACCACTGTGATATAATTTGGTACAATGATGTCACAGGGAACTCAAGATATTTTCTTTCCTATTCAAAGCTACTTCTCACCTCAGGTGCCATAAATGCAATTGTCCCAAGTAACTGTCCCTGAAACTCTCCTGCACCAGTTCCTTTTGATGCCAACCTGGCTGCTGCTCCAAAGTCTGCAATTCTCAGCCTCTGACCTGTGCTGTCAATTAGCAAATTGGCACCTGTCAAAAGAAATAGCAAATAATCTTGTATGTTAAAAAAAAATAAGGAAGATTAAAACCTAGTAAAGTTCCACTTATGAGACCGGGCAATGATGAAGGAAGAAGTGGGCCACATATTAAAAGTTCAGAGAAAGCTACTATATTCTCAGTTCTCTTCATCACTGCTAAGGATGGGCAGGTCTCTAGTGCAGGTAATACCTATACTTCAGGCAAAGTCTGAAATGCAAAGTCATAAGGCATATAGAGAGTAACTACTGAAACCGTCAATATAATGATTTTCAACAAAATCTTCAAAATTCCAATTTTACACATTAAGACAAAATTTTGTTGAAACTCCTTAATCTAGACCAGCTCAAACATTCATTTCATAATTAAAAGCTTAAAAAAACCCTAATCCTTTAACACTGTTTGCTTCAATATACTATGTCAAGTACTAGCTAAAGAAAATGATGACAGAAAACCAAAGTATCCCTAATAAAAATAAACTGAACTGCAAAAGATTTGACAAGACTTTTTCTTAACAAAAGTTTATGGTAGCTCAATTACTCCAATAAAATCAGGAATAGAGAGTCAGTAACTTCATGAAGGCAAGTTATGGAATTAGTGGAGACCTGGACTAACACTTCTTGCTATCAGATAGTGGTAAAACTGCAGGAAAGTCACAGGCTTTGTTCTATTGAATACACTGCTCTATAAAGTAAGAAAGGCAGATTAATATGCTTAAGGGTCCTTTTAGTTCTAGTGGCTTGAACTTTTCAAGGAAATAATACTGTAGTTTAGAATTAGGAACTCTCAACCAAATTTAAGTTTTTAAAATTACATTTTTTGTCACTAGAAAATAATTAAAAGAATTCTTACCTTTGACATCTCTGTGAATGATCTGATTTTCATGCAGATATGAAAGACCACGAAGTAACTGTTCAGTATAGTTAATAACCACAGATTCCTTGAAAGCTCCATATTTACTCAGGAGATGAGCTACAGATCCTCCTGAAAGATCAAATACAAACAGTACTAGTTATCCTCAGCTTGGGTCAAAATTGAGATAGCTTGTATCTTAAATTGTATTACCTGCGCTTGAATTTGTATTTGAAATGCTGAATTCTACCTTAGAAGTAAAAATGATTTCCTGTATCATGGAAAAATTTATCAATCAGAAGATGAGCATGGCGCACACCTATAGGTACCTACAAAGCTCAAGGCAAGCGCTCTACCACTTGAGCCACAGCTCCACTTCTGGTTTTCTAGTGGTTTATTGGAGATACCAGACTCACGGACTTTCCTGCCTGGGCAGGCTTTGAACTGTGATCCTCAGATCTCAGCCTCCTGAGTAGCTAGGATTACAGGCGTGAGCCACTGGTGCATGGCTAGGAGACATTTTTACAGAGCATTCATGAAATTAGTTCACTAGAGTCTTGAATTTCAAAAGCTTTAAAAGTTAACAATTCTTTTTTTTGTTTGTTTGTTTGTTTTTTTTGGGTCTGGTCGTGGGGCCTGAATGCTGGGCCTGGGCGCTGTCCCTCAGCTCTTCAGCTCAAGGCTAGCACTCTACCACTTGAGCCACAGCACCACTTCTGGCTTTTTTCTTTTTGCTTATGTGGTGCTGAGGAATCGAACCCAGGGCCTCAGGCATGCAAGGCAAGCACTCTACCACTGAGCCACCTTCCCAGCCCTAAAAGTTAACAATTCTTATTGGAATATTTCACTCCTTTGTCTTCTCAATTAAAACAAACAAAATACTTTTATTATTGACATAAGTAAACAATGCCAACAGGTAATTTAACAAAAGGTAAAGAATACGGGGAGGATCTAGAAGGCCTAGAATTAGGTTTTATATCCTACGTGTACTACCTCTGACTGGGATAAGTCAAATTCAACAAGCTCTATTTAAAAGGGTTTATAATAGTCAACCTATAAAGATCTTCAACAGGTACATGGACTTAACAACTAAGGGTAAACAGAAATTTACTCTTAAATAACATTAATCTAAAAAACTCACTAAAGAGCTGGGAAGGTGGCTCTGTGGTAGAGTGCTTGCCTTGCATGCCTGAGGCCCTGGGTTCAATTCCTCAGCACCACATAAGCAAAAATTAAAAAAAAAAAAAGCCGGAAGTGGCACTGTGGCTCAAGTGGTAGAGCGCTAGCCTTGAGCTGAAGAGCTGAGGGACAGCCCCCAGGCCCAGAGTTCAGGCCCCACGACCGGATCCCCCCCCCAACAAAAAACAACTCACTAAAACTTTATCCATCATATACTGAATCATTTTATTGCATATACTGCATACAAAAAAAAAAATCAAACTTAGTCCTTGTTCAAGTCCTTGGGGCAGTGCTAGTTTATCTTAGTAAGGTTTTTGCATTATACCTTAATTTAACTTTTATTTTTTGAGACGGTGTCTCTATGTACCCAAGATGGACAAACTCTTGATCCTCAAGCCTCAGCCTTCCGAGTGCTAGGATTACAACTATGCCCCATTATGCTTACTTTGTTAAGATAATTAATTAGTTTATTAATTTTTTTTTTTTTTGCCAGTCCTGGGGTTTGAACTCTGGGCCTGGGCTCTACCCCTGAGCTTCTTTGCTGAAGGCTAGTGTTCTACCATTTGAACCACAGCACCACTTATAGCTCTTTCTGAACAGTTTACTGAAGAAGAGTCTCATGGGCTTTCCTGCCCAGGCTGCCTTGATCATGGTTATCTTGGATTATAGGCATGAGCCATGGCTGCTGGCAATTTTTATTATTATATCATGTGAAAATGCTTCTTAAATCTGTCTACATAGTGAGAGCCATTTGGGAAAATATAGGATCTTATACATGACCAAAAATAAAAAATTCTTTTTTTTTGTCGGTCATAGAGCCTGAATTTCGGGCCTGGGTACTGTCTGTCAGCTCTTCAGCTCAAAGCTAGCACTCTACTACTTGAGCTACAGCGCCACTTCTGGCTTTTTCTGCTTACGTTGTGCTGAAGAATCGAACCCAGGGCCTCATGCATACAAGCCAAGCACTCTACCACTGAGCCACCTTCCCAGCCCTCTAAAAAATTCTTATAAACTATTTAAAATGCAGTCTCCAGTATTACAACTCCCTCCCCCCCAATAAAAAGAAATGGGAAAGATTTAACAGGTAGAGGAAGTATTTTACTATATTTAAAGACAATTTTTAGTTTATACTAGTATGCTAGAGGAACAATTTGCTTTTAGAAACCCAAATATTTTTTTAAAATTGTTTTTCTAAATTGGGTAGCAGAAAGCCAAATCCACATACTACTATTGACAATTTCAAACACCAGCATACCTGCCATCCATTCAATGAAGAGATTGTAATTGCTCTTTTCACATGTGGCTCCCAACATCCTAATGATGTTTGGATGATTCAGATGGCTCATCATTCTTATCTCCTCTCTCAGTGCTTCTACTACTTCTTCCTGCTCAGAAGATGTGTTTCTCACATATGTTACCTGTTTCAATAAAGTCACAAAACTGAATTCTGAGGTTTCTCTTTGTGTTTTGTGAACAACCTCATCTAAAATGAACTCATACATTAGTTTCTATGTTAACAGCATGTTAACATGTTATGCTCATGGATGCAGTGTGCTTCAATTTAAGAAACAAAACACCAAGAATACAGTAACAATACAAGTTAAATAAACAGTGAAATGTTAGGAAAATGATATACATACAAAAAGATATATAAAAAGATACATGCATTTTTCCATGCTCAGTTACAGACAAAGTTCAGTATGATTTTTTAAAATTTTATTTTATTGTAAAGCTGTTGTATGTGGGGGTGACAGTTACATGAGTAAGGCAATGAGTGCATTACTTGTAGTTCATTGTTACCCCTTCCTTTCCTTGTTGTTGTCCCACTATCCCCTCTCTCCCCCAGCTCCCACACTCCTATCCACTCCCCTCTCCCTGCCCGAAGTTGTAAAGTTTGTTTCCAATATACTGTCCTGTGGATATTAAAAATAAACTCTTTTGCCAGGCACTAGTGGCTCATGCCTGTAATCCTAGCTACTTAGGAGGCTGAGATCTGAAGATCGTGGTTCAAAGCCAGCCCAGGCAGAAAAATCCGTGAAACTCTTATCTCTAATAAACCATCCGAAAACTGGAAGTGGCGCTGTGGCTCAAGTGGTAGAGTGTTATCTTTGAGCTGAAGAGCTCAAGGACAGCGCCCAGGCCCAGAGTTCAAGCCCCACAACCTACCTAAATAAATAAATAAATAAAACCCTAATTTTTTTTCACATTTTAACAAGCATGGTCATTATAGACAGTAAACCACAGAAGGAAGATGGCATTGTACCAGCATATTGCTGAAAGGAATGAAATGCTATTTCGACTAACTATAAAAAGCAAAAATAAAAAAACCAAATGGCTATGTGGTATTCCTTGATATTGAAGCTCACAATAATTATGCCTCAACTTTTTTTTAATGTCAGACAAGTAATGTGTCCACATTGTAACAAGGTTTAGAGGGAGGCACATGCCACGCAAGCGTGTGAAAACCCAATCATCCCGCTTATGAACCGAAAACTCAACTCTTAGGCAATGTCTACCTAAACTTAGTTTTCTCACACAAGCATAGGCATATCCATTATCCTTTTAATTATATTTTTCATTTTATATTTGAATAATTATCTTCACTTATGCACTCACTAGATAGTTACCTGTTTAACAGCCATTAAAGTTCCAGTTCCCACATCTTGTGCCTGATAACAAGAAGAAAATGCTCCAAGGCCTATCTGCTGACCTTTCAGCCATTCAGTATCTTCTCTATAAGGTTGTTTTGCTTTGGTATGTCCTGGAAGAGTCTCTGGTGTCTACATATGAAATAATAGCAATTTTTACTGTTAAAGATTTTGTGAAAGTCTGGCAAAATACTACTCTTGGTGTATTTTCCTAAATTACTTACAAACTTAACTTCTGAATGAATGGTGTTGGCAATTGATGTATAATGTAGAAGTAACAAACTTGGGAATCAACCAGAACTGTCTGTGAAATAGGTCAGTTGTACTGTTACTTAAATGATACAAAATTATTGTAAAACTTGCCTGCACTGATTAATTCATCTCATCTTAAAAGCAACACTTATCGATTAGCTTTATGATAACATAGTCCAAAGAAATTCCTTAATCTGTTAATGACTATACTTACGTCCTGTTGAATAATGATGATGTCTTCTCCATTTTCAACCTGTAGCTGAGGAACTATGGGGAGGGCATCCTGAGACGCTGACATTGCCATGGCAATTGCTAAAGCTTCTTCTTCTTCAGCTTCCATTTTTTCTTTGCACTTTTGATTATGATTCACATCATCTTTGTAGGTATCATCATTTTCTGCCTTCTCAGGAGACAGTACAGCAACTTCTGACTTAAAAGTAACAGTTGTGTCACTTGAAGGCATAGATGCTTCAAGAAGGTCCTCGATACTGGAGTTGAGCTCTGTATTGACATCTAATCTGCATTTCTCCTCTACTGGGGTGAACACTGTCTCTTCACTTGGTATAACAGCACTACTGCTGTTGTTGCTACTGCCAAAGCTGTCATCACATTTGGAAGTACTATTCAGATCAAGTGTCATACTACTTTTGGAGGCATCTCCCTGTTTATTTGTGTTACCTGGCGTAGGTCGAGATGGCTTTGGCCTGTGTATGTTACTGGAGGGTAAAGGTCTTGATTGAGTGAAGATTGGGGAGAGTTTCTCTAAGTCTTTGCTTTCAGAATAGTTCCTCTGGAATTGTAGAGAAAATTTGCGCTGTGTTTGAGGAGATGCAGAAGATATTTTGCAGGGAACAAATCCCTGAGGTCTATGTTTAGAGACATCTGTTACAGAGCCAGCTGGTACTGATGGGGCAGATGAAGATGGGGTTGATGCAGTTGGGAACATTAAATGAGAATGAGAAGATAAAGGAGGGGAGTTCAAACACTGACTGTGGGGTCTGCCTTTTGTTTGAACCACAGGCTTTGGTTGTTCTGTTGTGGCTGAACTAGGAAGTCCTACTGAAATGCTTGTCAGTCTGTCAGAAATGTCCTCTGAACTGGCACTTAAACTTGTAGCATGTAATCCTTTTCCAGTTTTCTCTAAATGGACTGTGTGCTCAAGGGAACTGTCCTCTGGATAGCTGTTAGGGGCAGATGCCTGCAAATAGCTGTCCTGTTGACCATCCAAAGTGTCTTCTAGTCCCAACTGGATGGCCTCAGCAATTTCCACCTCATCAGCAATAGCCATCAAACGACGACGCATCCTGGTGAAGTGAGTGGAACTGGAGACACTAAGCATTTCTAACAGTTTTGAAAACACATTGGGTACTGCAGTAACCATTCTTGCAGAACTCAAATATATCCTTCGAGATAGCTTTCCCACCATGGAGTGGGAATTATCAATAGACTGCAAAGCAAACGTTAAAAGGGACAGCAGCTTCTTATACCTGAAAAAAAAAAAAATCACGTCCAATTACAAGTTGTATTACTGAAAAACATATGCCAATTTAAAACAATTTATAGTATATACACTTCAAAATATATTGCACAATAAAGCATCCATAAATTTTAAATTAAATAGCCTAGACTTCAGGTTCTATGTTAATCAAATACTAATTATTAGTAATTTATCTATGTTCTCTAACTCTTTCATAAACCCAAAATATGTCATTCTCAGAGAGGTTGTGTAGTGGGCAAGAGGAAAGTTAGATATTTACAGAAGATAAATCACCTGATTTCAACAGGCTCAGCTTGTGATACATCAGTACTGACAATATGAGGATAAAATTCAGCAGGAAATTCCAACAATAGTCTATCTATAAGACAAAGACGGCCCAGGAGTTCTTGCCAGTTGTTTGATTCAGTTTGGTTTCCAAGAATACAACTTAAGACATAATCAACACCACCAATACCAATGGATCCTACAAAAGTAAAAATAAAGGATGGAAAAATAGTGACATGAACATATAAAACAAAATATGATTCAATGATAAGGTCAACAAAAATAATCTGGATTACAGAATTTGCTATTCATACTTCTAATGAGTGAATCAATTCAATCTAATTGAGTGAATCAATTTATAAAATTATTTCAAAATACTGTAATAGTCCCATGAGAGATTGTAAGATTAGAAGGCTAGGAAAATCTTAACATGCTACATTAATTTTAAGTAAAAAATTATTACCAGCTTTAAGTATCTCTCTACCAACTGCCAATTCTCCTGCTTGCCCTTTGCACAACTCCAAAAGTGTTGATATGGACAGTTGACTTGTGCGGCTAAAAATGAAAATAAAGCAACATCAATTCTCGCACTAGGATAAAGTATCACTGATGTCAGAATAGGAATATAAAACCTGGTGAGAAAGTGGAAAGTAACATTTTAAAATTTCTTTTTAAAATTACTGTTAATATTTATTATTAGGTCTAAGTTAGTAAGAAGTTGAACCTATCATCTATGTTAAGCACAGTATCTTTAGTACTACCTTGTAGGCAACAAGAAGTGATTTAAATATTGAACCATGGCAAAAGACTTTTCATTACTGTGTCTTGTTAAAACAAAAAGAATGTACCTGGGCATCACAGCACATGTCTCTAATTCTAGCTACTTAGAATGTGGAGTCTAAAAGATCACAAGTTTAAGGCCAGCCCAAGTAAAGTTAAGAGTTTTTGAGGCTTGGGGGTGTGGCCCAAATGGTAGAGTACTTGCTTATTAGCATGCCTAAGGCCCTGGGTTAAATCCCTAGTACTGAAAAAAAGCAAGCTGATTCTGACATTTTTATTTTTGAACTTTAGGAATCTCTTCAAGTCTGGCTGTGTTGGGTAGTACATGCATATAATCCAAGCTACTCTTGGGTTGTAGGCAAGAGGACAGTGGTTCCAGGCCCACCTGGATAAAACAAAATGAGGGCCTGAGTTTATAAACAAACTTTGGAGCTAGGTTGTAGTTCAATAGTATATGCTTGTTAAGTAAAAGGCTCTGGGTTTGATGCTAAGCACACGAAAGCAAAACAAACCACCCATGCCACCCAAGCCTTTACATTCTCCAAGTATCTTTACAATATTTCTTATGGTTTTAATCACCCAAGCAATTACCTAGGTACTCAACTTAATTTTAGAGTTTTGTAAGGTGAGAAATACAACATATGCTGTATCCACAGTGAAATTCGCAGGAAATTACCTACCCTGACATTGAAAAATGTCATTTATCAAGTTTGTTAATTTTCCAGCTATACTATTTTGTTTAAGCAACATGAAAAATCTCCAGTACTTTAAATTTGTAGGCTTATGTAGGAAAAGAAGTATGTGAACAAAACAAAGACTATGATAAAGAAACTAGTCAAAGCAAGGGACCTGATTTTTGAGATTCTGTAGCTAATTCATATAACTTGGAGATAAAGTGAAACCAAGGGAGAATTCATACTTTTTGCCACTCAGGATCTGCTAGTATGTAAGAGATGATAATTGTGAATCTAAATTGCTATATTTAGTAAATGAAGTGACTGTTTTCTTTACTTCATGAAAGGGGTGAGCACAAGAAACCTTGGTCACAAAAGCATGGCTGTGATCATTTGTACTGTCTCAACACCTAACACTTCATACCTTTTTCTCCAGGTTGGATTATTCTTAATTCATGTCAATTTTCAAGGACAACAGGAATATATGAAACTTTAAAAAAAAGTCATAGCTACAGTAAAATACTATTATACTGAAAATAATGTAATGGGGCCATTTTTTGATCCAGATAAGGCATGAGGAGGTATAAGATGATTGACTCCTCACTACAATAAGATTATACCTTTTGGAGATATGTACCAACTAGTATTCTTATCAACTGGACTTCAGATTAAGAATATTATTTAAGAGAAACAATCACTATACAAAGAAGTACAGGTCCATTCAGTTTGATAGTCTGGCTTTGCTTTCTTTTTCTCTAGCTCTTAAGAGCGTTAAGTGCTATATTTTAATTTCAAATCTCACATAAGAGAACAGTTTTCAAAGATTCATTGATTAAATATGTATCAAATAATAGGCTTGGTGCTAGGAACTTTTAGTACCACACAGTTTCAAATGGGTTCCATCAAAAAGGTCTTACCTATTGGCATCTGCACACTTGACTAGGATGGTGTCAACAACTGGTCGGAGAAGTCTCTGAAGTTTGATTCTTTCTGCCAAACTGTGGCAAGGAGTATATACCAGCATGGCTCTCAATGTTTTCTGAGGAGAAAAAACTAAAGGTCAGTTTAACTATGTTTATAAAACATGAGAGACAGAGTTTAATCTGAGCAATCAAATAAATAGTGATAGGAGTAGGATTCTAACAAAAGCAGTGGTAATCAAAGCAATAAGAAACAATGACTTTTTACAATGTGATAAGCATTATGATTAGGGGGTTCTAAAATATACACCAAAATCTAACAAGTAAATAAGTATTTGAATTATTTTGTAGGTGAGTAAACTAAAGTTTAAGAAATCTTAGTTTTTTCTAAAGTTGTACTGCTTGCAAATGGGAAGCCTAGGATTTGAATCAAGGATTCCCCAATGTGCTCTATATACT